CCCTATTTCTTATTTATAAATATTATTTAATGAGTATTTGCAATTTATATATATTAATGAATATTTCTTATCCGTGCATCGCACGGGATTCATACTAGTATATATATATATATATATAATAAATTAGTTTTATACTCCCGTCATTTAATTATTTATTTTGCCTTTTTAGGTTAGTCCGAATAACAAATTGGTAGCTTATGCCGAAGACACTCGAGGTGATGAAATTTACACTGTTCACGTAATTGATGCTGAGTCTCAAACACGTATTGGCAAGCCTTTGGTTGGGGTTACAACAGACCTTGACTGGGCTGGTGACAATGCTTTAGTTTATACCACCAGAGATGAGATTCTCCGGCCAGATAAGGTATGCATCATTATGTTAGTGCCTAGTAAAGGTTATGGTCTTTTTGTCTTAAGTAATAATGGCCCCATCCGCTTACTATCAACTCAAGGATCGTTACATTTGGTGATGGTTGGTTCCACTTTATTTTCCTCTACCCCTTTACTGAAATTCTGCTAATAACTGATCTATATATGGTTGCTTTGAGTCCTATGAAATGTGACATTTTACCTCAACCTTGTTCTTCTATCTCATTATCAGTAATTTACTGTTGAGTTAATCATCATGTAGAATTTTTGCATATACCTCGAAGTTGAATTAGCGTACAACTAGCCCTACTCCCACCGGCACAATTTTTTCTTTCCTGGAAAGTCTAATGAGACGGACTATCAATAATGTGAAAATTTTGTTTTGTAAACAAGAAAGAAAATCTTGTAATTTGGCCGGGATGGAAGCAGTCTATTGCAATTCTCTTGTGGTGTTGATGATCATCTTCCCATGATATGATAAGTGCATTTGAAAGACTTGATATTGATTTAGCTTGTCCATTTATTACTAAATAGGAAGATACACGTGCTACGCACATGATATTGTTGTTTTTTTTTTACGTAAAATATTTTTATTATTAGATTTAATTTAATAGTATTATATAATTTTTTTTTCATTGCTTAACAAAAAATTGTGTATTCTATTATAAAATATAATAATAAATACTATTAACTGAACTCTATGACAAATAAAATTAAATAAAAAAAATATTGGTTAGAAAATCCTAAATAAAATTAATATTTTTTTCTGAAATTTTAAATGCTAAAGAAATCAATGTAGTCCTGGATTTTGTTATCTAATGATATCATCATTATGCTTAATATAATAATCATTATTACTGTCAAAATAATAGTTTTTTAATGTCTTCCTTTTGCGTCATACTCTTTGAAAAATATCTCGAATTTACCATGATTATAATTTGTAATTATCATTTTTTTATTGTTGATTGGAAGCTAACACATTATGGTTAAATGTTTCGTTCTCTATTATTTTGATTGTAACGGTTGAAAATTCAATTATATTTGTACGGGTAATATTAGATATATTTTTTCTCTGTGTATATATTGACATAAGGGTATAAATATTTGAAAATATCTTTAAAGTCGTAATTATTTAAAATTTTCTTCGGAGTGGCGTTCAATCGAGTAAAGTCCCTCCAAGAGCAAGTCTGGGTCTCAAGTTGGTCCAGGTTCCAGGTAACCGAAGTCTGGATCCTCTGGTAACTCTGGTTCGGGAAAATTATTAGCGAAAATAACATCCTTGCTTAATTAAAGATAACCATCTATATATGTGTGTGTATGTGTATATATATTGTCGTACCGTTGGTTGATTGAAGGTACCTATCTATATAATTATATTGTCCAACATAAATCGTTGCATTTCCTAACATTGTCATCATTTTCGTTCATGGATTTTCAAGACTACTTTTATATATTTGTCAATATTATTATAAATTTTATGTTTCCTACTTTTGAGAAATGATTTGAAAATTTTAAGTCATTTATGATTTTATAAATTAAGTTGGATAATGAAAATAATGGGTAAATTGCACCAAATTCCCCTGTGTTTAACGAAATGTGCGCGTTTCCCCACTGTGTTTTAAAAACTGCATCAGACCCCCTTGTGTTTAAGTAACCAATGCACGGTTCCCCCATTCTGTCCAAGTTAACCGCGCGTGTATGACACCCTTTCTATCTGCGAGTTTTGTTCAATTTTTTTTATTTTCAGAATTACTAATTTACCTTTATACCCTACTGGATTTTTTTGCAAAAGCTAAAAATAAAGTGTAGGAAGTGAGACTCGAACCCGGGTTGAAAAGGAAGAGCACGCCCAACACAACCACTTGGGCTACATGACTATTGTGTAAATTATTGAACACGCATATATTTATAATATAATACGAAAATGAATTAAATAAAATAAAAAATAAAGTAAATAAAATAAATAAAAATCTAATAGGTAAATTAATATAAATTAAATAATTATTAATGTTAATAACTTGAAATAAATTAAATTAACATAAAAATAATTAAACAATTAAATTAAAATAAAGTACAATAAAATTTAATATTGTAGCATGAATTAAAATTAAATAAATTTACAATTATATTACTAAAATAATTTAATTATATAAATTTTGAAATAAAAAACAATGATAATAAAACTAAATAAAGAAAAGTAAGTAAAATATAATAATAATATTATAAAATAGTAAAGTATAAAAATTGTAAAGTAAAATAAAATAATAAATCAAATAACTTATTATGATATAATAAAATAAAGTAAAGAA